CCAACCATGAACAAGGTTGCTATATGGAAGTGCTCACCGACGCCATCATGCATAAGGTTGAGGCCGAAGAGATTTTGTTGAAGGCTGATCAAGATGGCCAAGCGGTGGACCAGAAAGAGTTGGAGGAAGAATTCTTGATCACTCGGACAGTGAGCAACAAGGAGGTCATGGATGATTTCGCAAATTGGGTGCCATCGATCACAGCCGAGTACAACCAATTGGTCACGACCAAAGAAGCGGTGGAGCAAATCTCCAAAAAGGAGCTTCACCATCGAGCTGAAAGGCAGCAGAAGACCATTGAGTTGCTGCCGGCAAAGATGGTCTACACCCGCAAGGCCGGAGCAGGTCAAAGACGCCGTGGTGTGCGGCAACTACTCTGACTCCCACTTCAGCAGTGACTGCTATGCAGGTGGCGCTGATGGATGCCAAGTGAGAGCCTTGCTGAGAACATCAGCACTCAATGGCAAGCTTGTAGCGATGGAGATTCCAACGGTCTACAAGCGGCTCGGCCTGGCCAAGGAAGGAGATGTTTGGTTGGTTCGACTAGCTATGGGCCTGACAACGTCTCCAAGTGACTGGTCAAAATATCGTGTTGGGTTCGCGTGAGAGAAGACCGCAGCAAAGTTCGGGGTTACTTCACCAAAACGGCCGATGAGAACCTATGGCGCCTGGAGGAGACGGAGACGATCTCGGGGCAGCTTTGGTCTGGCCTGATGTCCGTATATGTTGATGACATCCTGATGTCAGGGGAGGAGGAAGCAATTGCAGCTGCTCTCACAACCTTGCAATCCACGTGGGCAACTTCCAGCGTTGAGTGGGCATCACCTACCACACCTGTGCACTTCTGTGGGTTTGAAGTCACGATTGATGAGGAGGGTGATGGTTACCGCGTCTCACAGAAGAAGTACGAGCAAGAACTTCTGACTCGCTGGAAGGTGGGCATGCCTTTGTCCTTCCCACACTTCAAGCTTGGAGAGGCCGACTGTGAACAGGAGGAGGAGGTGGATCGAAACAAGGTTCGTGAAGCACAAGCCCTAGCTGGCTCCCTCCTTTGGCTTTCGACTCGTTCGAGACCGGACCTGTCGTATGGGGTGGCGGCTGTTAGCAGGCTGGTGGCCCGCAATCCGGTGAAAGCCATAGAGATTGCTCACGTGTTGCTCGCCTACATCAAAGGAACTCCAGGAGATCTTCATTACTCTCGCTGGGTAAAAGAGAAGTGGGGGCCCGTGGACAGCTGAAGGTGGCACGCCATGAGAAGCTTTTGGAGGTGTTCGCGGACATTGCCTACGGCTCGGGCACGGGTCATCGCAGCGTGACAAGGCTTGATGGTGAGCCTGGCCAGAGCTCCGATAGCATGGCAAAGCTCGACTCAACCATTTGTCACCCACAGTACGGCGGAGGCAGAGCTGGTGTCCTACTGTGAAACGCTCACAGCTGGAAGAGCAACAGAGGCTCTTTGGTGCGCCGTGTGGGGGGAGGAGCTCGACGCCAAGAACACGTGACGTTGGAGCAAGTCCTTTACGGTGACAATGCCGGATGGAATGACAAAGCCACTGGCTGGTCAGAGCTTCGCTGGTTTCTTGAGAGACCTTGGTCTGAAGGCCAGTGGGGCAAAGCTGAGCAAGGCTGCCTTGGGAGGACAAAATCATGACCTAAGGAGCTCTACGTGCTTTGGTTGTGGGTGGTTTGTTGGTCAAAGCAGCTGAAGCGCAAGGTGATCCGACTATGAGCACCCAAGAGACGCCTTCTTCAGTTGATGCCCTGTGGACATGTGGCATCATTCTGGCGATCATCGGAGCCTTCTGGGCGCTGAAGACTGTGTGTAGCTCGGTGCGGTGCTGCATTCGTCGACTTTGTGTGAAATCACCAAGAGAACACACAGGGGAAGACGAGGAAAGTGAAAATGAAGGGGTTCCTACACCATTGAGTATGCGGCCGCCACGTATGAGAAGAACACCTACCAGGTCGCGGGGCTATGTGGAGAAGGTGTATGCCGCGACGATGGAAGGGATAGCGTAGAAGAAAATGCAGTGGGTGTTGACGCCCAAAGGACGATACCAAGTAAAGAAGGAGCTCAAAGGGAAGGCACTATGACCCGGCGGAGCTCTACGGTGAGGACTTTGAAATGGCAAGGCAGTGCTGGCCAATCATCTATAGTATAGCACATGAGACCTTGCGACAAAGGGCAAATCAGGCTCATGAGAGGCAGGAAGAACCGCCATCTTCATCCAGCAGCTCGGCCATCTAGGCCGTGACAGAAGCAGTTGAAGAAGCAAAGAAAGCCGCTCGAAATGCCCTGAGAGCAGCCAATGCAGCGGACCGTGCGGCTGAGAGCGTAGAGAAGGCTTCGGAGCTGCTGCAAAGAGCGGCGGAAGGCCCTTCTTCGAAGGACAGCCGGCCGGCTGAAAAGGTTCCGATGAATCCATGGAAATATTTCAAAAGATGAATGCATCCAAAGGGTGGTCAATGGACCGAATGAGGGCGGAGTACTATCGAAGCAAGTGCTCACAACGCCCAGCAAGTTCGCAAATGCCTTGAGCCCCGATCAAAAAGATCGCATTTTTCGCATGAGCGAAAAGGGGGACTCTCTTGTCCCATGAACCACTGCGGTGTGAACACCGTAGGCATTTGTTGCACAAGCGATAAAAGGTGCGGATCTCGTTTCCTCAAGCCCGTAATCATTTTGGCAGCAATTGTCAACCATGGACCACTGAGATTGCTTGGCTTATCAGGGTGTAGCATACACATGAGCACAAAAACTCTTGTTAGGGGTGGTCAATTGTCAGAGCTTGCACAATGACCTTGGAGAATGACCCTGAGTACCAGAAGTTGGGTATAGTTGGGTAAATTGCCAGGTCAGGGATTTGGGATTGCGATGACGTTGTCGTGGAGGTGAGTGTGGGGGTTTGGTTTCTACCTGGTGTTGCTTGGGGAATCTAAGTGGGTATCCTTGAGCCTGGCGTGGAGGAGACATGCACCATCCTTCCCCATATATGGAATGCGGCGTTTTGTTCTTCTGGCGGCGTTTTTTTTTGGATGACGGCAATTTTCCACTCTGGTGGCAAAAATTTTGGCCACAATGGAGCGGCACTTTTTTCGTCCACCAGGTGGACCTAGGTATAAAAGCCATCGATGAACAAACCATTATGGGAAAATACGCCGAGCTGTGACTTTCCAAATACGGACACGAGATTTGAAAACAACCGGCTGCGAAGAAATTTCGCCGGAGATTCAATTGAAGACCTAGCGAGTATTAGAACTTGGCGCTATACCAGCACAATAAGATCAACAAGGGAAGGAAAAACACTTGGTGGGGAACGAAAAACACTCCGGGAAGGAACAACACCAATTCAGGAAGGGGAAACACCATTCAGGGAAGTCGTTCTTATCCCTCATTGATACAAAACACTGCAAACATATACTACAAATATATCATATATATATAATTCTGCAGGGAAGGTCGCCTATGGCGTCCTTGCTTCCCTGACAAAGATTGACAAAGTATCCCACGACAATGAGTGACGATTGGCTGAGAATTCAGAAACAAGGGCCACTGCATACCACTGTGCACAGTATGCGCGCTACTGCTCTTAAACAAAGCTCATGACGCTCATGTTTCCAATACCCTGCAAGCATGATGTATGGGGCACCACATTCCCCACCGAAAGTCGTTCAAACTGAGCTCGGCACTCACGAGCATAGCATCCAAGCAGGAAGTAGGTTCCCGCGGAGCCATGTGATGGCACCTGTAAGGAAAACTGTGCGAATCTCTCTGCTTGGGAGTGGAGACTGGGCTGGGCCCGCAGCACAATCCACATGGCAAACAGCGTCCGTGCACCGTCAAAATGAGGCCTCGCTTGGGAAGCCACAACATCCGTGCAACACTTCGAACGTACTGAGTCTCCATGCATGCGGTCCTGCTGCACCTGCACTTCAACAGTCTTGCCGAAAAGTGCCACTCGCTTCAACAGGGTTTTGGCAGCTGCCAATGCAACAGCATCCCGGCATTGCGTGTGTGTTTCGAGTGCTTCTTGTGATTTGTTTTTCGTTGCTTTAGTAATTTAGGCGGTGAGGGACTGGTGCAAGCTTCCGCATCCCCCATCAATGACAATGCTTTGTACAAGTTGCATGCAACCACTACGACATCATGCATATGTTGAATTGGAACCTTGGTCGGGGCAGGTTCACCAGGTTGGCCTTTCTCTTTGCATGCCTTTTTCACATTTCCTTCACTTCGGCTGGGTGAAGCCTGAACCCGGCGGAGGGAGTCGAAACAAACATACCGGACAGATCCAGAAAGGCAGGTGCCCCTCAGTATATATTTAACTATTTATATATATACACTTGAAGATGAATGTTGCCCCTGTAGCGTCAAATGACTCCAGTACTCTCAGCTCAAACAGTCAACACTTTGCCTTCATAGCATGAATGGCGGATGGGCACTGACATGACAGGCACTGAAATTGAGTCATAGGCCGCTTCCTAATTAGTAAGTGAACACTGCCTGCAGAAGATAGGGATAGTGAGTAGTCGCATTACTCTTCTTGCTACCAACAGCTATTTCTGCCGAGCCTTGTTTTCCAACGGTGGCCTCATGCAGAAACACTATGATGCAAACTGATGCCCTCAACGAATGGGAGGCAACTGTGGTCCTTGCTCCATCTGCCCCATCTTCGCTTGCTTTCAAGCTGGTTGCAGTTCATTACTTGTCCCGCAGGTTTGTCACGGCAAAAGGCCAATGAGAAATGCACAGTAAAGATAGCAACATACGGGGTGTGAACGTCTCAAGAAGGGCAAGCTTTGCTGCGCAAAGCGTTCCACAAACTGTTTAATTGGAGAGGCGCTAGCTGCATATCAACAGTTTCTGGTGTGCTGCCTTGTGCGTATTGCCTAACCTAGCATTGTCTTCTGAAACCTGTCGGCAAAATGCACGCTCAAACATCTTCTTGGGACCGGATTAGTCTTGCGCATGGTACCACTGGCAATCGGCACAGTTTTTTCTCCGCTGCCGGAATTGGCATGGTGACACTTCGAAACTTCTTGCATCTCAGGACGTCACCATCCACAAACCTGAGACGATGAGAGAACACAAATGCAAGTTCATGAATCATGAATTTGTATCTTGTCTGTTGACCTCTTCCACAAAAAGCGTGCCAACTTCATGGGGACAAAGAGCTCTTTGTGCCAGCCAGGTTGCGTAATAATTCCTCGGATTATTTCTTCTATAAACTCACATGTTAGCAACCTCTTCAAGTTGTGACGCTTATAGCCGTTCAGCCAATGTTCTTGAAGAATTTACCACGCAAAAGCCACGTGGGATCTTTCAAATGGCTGAAGATTGGGTCCAGAACCCGAGCTGCTCCATCCTGAGCAGGGCCAATTTGCTGGCGTTCAATTTCTGAGTGCGTCAAGCCCCGGAGCCTCTTCATCTAATGGTGGGCCCACCCACGTGTCGTGAGTTGCTGCCACTTGCCCAACTCCATCAGGTGCCATATCTGTCACCCATCCTGTATCCACCTCAGTCTTCCCCTGGTGACTCCAGCGATGACTCAAATGATATCTTCCTCCAGCTTGTGTGTTTCCAACCCAACAGGTGTGCGAAGGTGTGGGAGCTTTTGACTTCTGATCCTTAAATGGGTTTAGGGTATCGGAGAGGAGTTAGAGAAAGCAAAAAGTTGAAAACATCATTTAGTCAAAACGATGGGTTCTGGTGAGACAAAGGAAAGAACAAATTAGGCAGGCCAAGTGAGGTGTCTGCAAACCTGAGGTATACGTGCAACATCTTCCCAAAGCTTCAACATCTCCGGGCTGTATTCAGGGACATATCAGCATAGAACTTATTCGTAAGGGATCTTGCAGCAATGATGGACGAATCCGCACGCTTGTGGAACTCGGCAGTGCAAGGCGTTTTGACCTTGAAGATTCACACCTGCTGGGCGATGCTTGCCCTTCGACGCGATCACAATCGCTCGCTCACGTGAAGCTAGCGCTGCTCTGGCTTTAAAGTTCAAGGCCATCAAACTTCAAGAAAGATCAAGAGACCCTTCTCCCAACAGTCAAACATTCTTTCGATTCTTTCTAGGTACAGTATCTCAGCAGAAAAAGTCTTGACAAAAGCGCCGGCGCTTTTGTTTGTGTGACGTTTTCGCATCCTCACCATAAAATACACTGCAGCGGGGGGATGGTTAAGGGGATTTTCATCGTCTGGTTTGTCACCGATCATTCTCGTCACGAAGCGTCGCGCCTACTGGCTTTTCGCAAGAATGTTGCTGCATTGCTTCGGCTGTTCTTTTGAAGCGGCGCATTCCCTGAATTTGGCTTGGTGGAACCCTCCCTGGAACTTGGCGTTCCTTCTGCGCTGGCTGAAGCAGATTGCTTCTCCTCACAGTGTCTTGTTGCGGGCGACTTCACCGGCACATGGCAGAAACTTTTGCATGGGAGATTAGCACTCTTGGAATCTCTTGGAGCCACTGCTCAACGAGGACGTGCACGTTTGCTCGCAAATACCTGTGAAAAGCTTTGTGCAAACTCCACGCAGTTTCAGGCCCAACAACCCCCCTGTAGATTACAGGGCCACTATTCGAGAGGCACTCTCACATGTAGGCTCAATCACACAGGCTTTGGAATTTGTACAAGCGGTAGTTGCGTAGACTTGTGTGACTTTTGAGGCCATCCATCAACAATAGTGACTCGTGAAGCTGAGAATTCTCTTGCAATTTGAATGGCTGTGCAAGCTTTTGGCGCAACCTTGCACGTCACCTTGACTCGCTCAAAAATGCGAAAAACAAATATATATCGCCCCCCCCGGTACCTACCTTTTGGGTGATTTTATCAGATGCGGGCCATAGGTTGCTCCTATATCAAAAATGATCAAACTTTGTAATTTTAAAGACTTTCCTCTGGGTCCTTGGGAACGGCCACTTCTATGCTTAAAAACTATAAAGCCTTTCATTGCAAACGTTGTTTTTTCTGGATCTCTGGGAATGATCACTTTTAGTATTAAGAACTTTTATGCACACTTCAAATTTTGATCTTTGGGAAGGATCACCTCTACATGACAATGTTCTTGAATGTAAAAAAGAAATCACTTCAACTTTCAACAGTTGTCCTCCGGGTCTGTGGCCGAAAGGCTTTCATTTCAACAGTTTTCTTTTGGATCTCTGTGAAAGCCCTTCCGGAGCCCTTCATCACAGATAGGCTTCCTCTCTAAAACCTTCCATCAAAGATCAAAGATCTTTGTGGATGTGAAATGGCATGTATATTCAAGTAAAACTCCATGAAACTATAGAAAACTGCCTCCAAACAAATGGGCAACAAATCCAACAATTTGATAACAAAAAGGAAGTCGCGGCTGTCTGTGCAGCCTCCACTTGTCCGTGCCAAGTGCTGTGGGAAGGTGCCACGGCAGGCGCTCTTGTGGCCAAGTGTTTACTCTGGGTATGTCAACAATTGACAATGCCTCATTTGCTTGCAAGGCCTGTGTAACGATTTGTCATGGCAGTGGCGCTTGGCATTAGTTTTCCAGGTCACGGGGTGTGCATGCTTCCGGGGCGAATGGGGGAGAACCCCCTGCCTTCGCCCAACACGTCAAAGTGCTTGATAACTCAGCCATTCTTAACCCCAAGCATTCTTACCCATCCCAAAACTTCTCTCAGCTCTTGGCACAGTTCATGAGGATGCGCCGGCGGAACATGTCCTCAATTGAAACGTGTTTCCGGGTAAAGAACTGCCCGTGCTCTCATGCGCTCCTTGCAAGAGGTGTGGGTCATCATGTTCAAGGCTGCTTTTGCCATGTTAGTGTGGGGATGACCCGAGCTCTTGTTCTTCACAGAAAATTTGCCTTCCAAAGCGCCTTAGATGATACACATCTGGCAACCAACCCCCCCCCAAAAAGGTTGGCTCAACATAGTGCTGACGTTTTGAGAACTTATTGCAAGTCAGCGCTGCTAACATTGACAATGTGTCCGAATGGTGCGGCATCACATTTTGGTCCAATCACCTTGGCTAGGCAAGGTTGCTGCTAAGCCAAGCTGAACTAAAGCTGGGTCCCGGTACACTGGCCAACCTGCTGCACAGAATGAATGGCGCTGCAGTATTTGCAGCCAACGTCTGTAGCAGTTCAACTGTTGCGACCTTGGCCACAGCACAAAAACCAAACACCACTCTATGTACAGGGCATATCGCAGTCTCACCGTCCCTCATCCAAACGCTACTGTGGAGCATCTTCAATGCGCCTCGACCTGGGCAAGGATTGATGTGTAAGCCAAGCGATCTGTTCCCACAGTGGCTGGTTGAACTATGGCTTTCCCTCCTGAGCAAGCGTCCAACTGTTTGTCATCGAACGATCCAAGGGCTGACGTGACTCGTCCAACTCGCCTTCAGGAAAGTCCTGTGGAGTCACACTCTTGAGCGTTGGCAAAGCGCATCCATCACTTCAAAACACTATCATATAATGCATTTTTTGACATGTGACAAAGGCTGTCGCGACGCAAGCTATTGCTATATTCCGAGAGAAATTTGGGGCATGGGGGCCACTAGAGATGTTGATTTTGGAGCCCCGCGGATTTACATTATTAAGGACAAATGTCAGGGTTTTCAGCTTAGGGTTATGCATGTTAAGCATCGTCGACCGCGCAATGTACATACAATCTTTCAGACCGGCAAGGGGGGACGCATACGCGGATCGAATTGGATTGCTTTGGAACCTGCCAAGGCAATCAGAAGCTGGGTCCAGTGCAAGCTCCAAACGATACAGCTGTGTGCGCGTGCAAGGTGTGGTTGGTTGCGAATCATCTGGCAGAGCAAGAAAGGACTTGAACATTTTAAAGTCCTTACACTTACAGGATGCGCGATTGTATTCCTGCAGCATCTTTTCGCGCGCTTGCCTGAAGTCATCGGTGTGAGCCGGTGTGCGTGACAGAACTCTGGTGCACATACAATGCCATGATGCACCACGGCCAAGCGCGGACATCCTTGCCAACGTGCACCAGCGTCAGCATGGTTGCCTTCAATGAATCCCGACAGTTCCGCTGCGTGCGCGTGTGGGCAAGTGGATCCATGATTGTGCACTTGTATCCACAGCTGAACATTGAAAAGGGGCCAACGGTTGGCTAGGTTGCGCAGCAAAGCGGCGTTACACCAGGTTGCTCTATTCCAGTGGCTATCTGGCGCGTTGTGCGGCAGCGCGCTGCGTCCAACACCCTCTCACCCTTACAGGCACGCTGCCCCGTGGTATATAGCAACAATCACTGAACAAACTCAGGGCAGCGAGGGCTAGCGAGAAGCGCTTTAGGCTTCAGGAGCTAGCCCGCCAGTGTGCATGAGGAGGGATGGATCGGCCGCGGCAAAGTAACCAACAGCTTGCGCCCTGCGCCACACATTCATGGGGAAGTGTATGGAGCACATTTCACGGGATGCCATCGTGACTAAGAAACCTGCCCGGTCCCTTGAGTGGTGAGTGGCACAAGGACCAAGTAGCCGAGATAGCTTTAGGTTTTTGGTTGACAGGCACCACAATGAGATTGACCGGGTCTTGAAACTTTATGGTCGGTCAAGGAGGAGCAAGGGTCCACGTTGAAGGCATTGAATGAGAACATAGTGGCCTCCATGCAGCCTTGCCTTCCCCGTGTGGAATCCAAAGTGAAAGGAGGAGGCAGCGGGTCTAAATATATATAATTGTTGGCAAGTTTACCCCTGGCCTGCAGCACCATCCCGCTCACCAGCGACACGCCACGTTTACGCCATCGGGTTTCCCGTTCGCAACCGGCCTGAAGGCACGCTAACACACTCTCCACCCATGCCGCGCCAAACTGCATGGCACAGCGACATCACGAACGTAATTTCGCCGCACCGTGTGCCACAGACAAAACAAAAACAACTGCCAATCATCCTGCTAAGCACTGCAACGCAACCGTCCAGAACATCATTTTGAACAGAAACTTTTACCCTGAAACCCATGAAGCAAGACCTGTTGCTCGGTGCACTGCTGCGTCGACCCTGCTGATGTCAACAATTGTTTTTTGCGCAGATGAATAGGCATGTTGGTTGCTATACTCCTCTTCCCCTCGGGATGAACCATGTGAGGCTGAGCCGGCCAATGACTTGGGATCTTTGAAAAACAGACTTCCTCGTTAGGATTGAGTTGAGGACTTTAGGTTATTCGCTTGGACTTTAAAGGCGCAGTCGCCAAACCAAACCTTGACACGCTTTGTTGTTAAAATGCTTTGCTGTGTCATTAGTGGTAGGCAGCGGGTTGACCCGTGTTATGTTGAGTGTCTGGAAAGCACAGTTCAACTTGGAAGCGTGCGTGGCTGAAGGTTGCGCGTTCCGGGGCCTCCAATTAAACACATTTTGGTGCCATCGAATGTGAGCCATCCTTAAAGTTCAAAACATAGTTAAGCAACGAAAACATTTCACTCATCAAACATTTTCCACACTGGGACCCTAGTGATAGCCAGGGCTGCCGCGTGCGCCTGGACGTGCTGGTTCCACTCAGTCAGACGCTCTGGGCAAAACTTTGCGGCGTACGTGTCCCGGTGCGCCCAAGCTTGGCCACCTCTTCTGCCACTTGCGCGCAACGAAGGATGCAGAACCGCAGTGTCTGTCACTACAGTTGGGACCTTTATTGTTTGAATAGGTTCAACACACACACACATGGGTAGCTTCAAATGTTACCAGGCAAATATTGCAATTAATGTACCCCAAAGGTAAAGACGTCTTGCCCCCTCGGGCCCAGGTCGGCCACGCGCAGCCGCTGCCACGCTTGAACTTTTTGGCTAATGAAAGAGGAGTCGCGACATGATCCATGCCCGGACAGAACCGAAGCAACAGCACACTTGAAGGCAGCGTTTGCTCTGACTTCTGACTGTTTTGCAAACTCTTCGTTTCAATTGTGGCGCAACATGACCTCAGCCTTCGGCCCATTCAGAAGAGTATGTGGGACACTGTAGAGCGGTTGTGGAAGCCGGCCCGTGTCTTGACAGAAGCAAGGCATCACTTACTTCCATGGGCAGCCAGCACCGCGCGCGCAGATTTCCCGTATGCCAATTGCGCAGCTAGCACTGATGCGCCCTCTGACCAATGGCGGGCGAAACCGAGCATGACCAGCCACAGCGACCAGATCATGAAGCCGTGAGGCGGCATGATCTGCCAGCGGGTGCAGAATCGGCTTGCTGCACAACAGCACCAGCCCGCCCGCCAGCAGCTGTAGCCTTACTGGATGTAACTAAGCAACTTTCATCGGCTCCTTTGGCGCTGGAAATGCTTGAACCTCGGGCCGTTCTCCATGTGCAAGAGTTGTTCCAAACTTGCAAGGCCATTGGGAGAATTCTTTCATCGGTGTGCAACAGAGTGGGAGCAGGTGAGGAACGCAAGCAAGTTGCATGTGCCTCTGCGTGAGAGGAATGGTAAGGAATGCTGGCCAACTTGGGTGAAGCCTATGACTTCTTGACATCCTTCGGGTTACTTGCTGAAGAAGATGGTGGCAAGGCTGAGCGGGAAGTTTGCAAAATCAACTCATATCAGTCGGCCTTGAACAAATTATGTGCAGTACTCCAGTTTGGGAGCGCGGCCAGGGCCACCAATCACCAAGACGTCAGGCTCGTATGGTGAAGGTGACCTCAGGGTTGGCATCTCGCTCGATGTGACATCCAACATCCATCCACTTACATACCAATGGAACGATCCGAGACGGGCCCTCATTGCACAGCGGCCAAGGAAAGATTCTTGGTGCCATCTGGCCGACCTGGGTGGTAATTGGTAATCGTGTTAATCTGGATGTTTGCGTAGTCGCCCGTTCCCTGCTGTGGAACAGGCGTTCCGCGCCACTTGTGGGCTTCTCTAACACCGCACGTAGCTGCAATGCTGGGCCTTGAGAAGGAAGCAGTACGCAGTACCTCCGCAAGCAGCTCTTTCGGAATGCGCCAGCAGCAACCGACAAGTTGCGAAATTGGTGGGAGAAGGGCCGGAAAGAAAATAGGATGGCAGTGATTGCAAGCCAACCCTGAGTCCCCCATCTTCAAGCTTGATGGTGACACGTTGCATCTCAAAGCCATCGCTGCTGATCAGCTCCAACCCACTCGGCATCGCAGTGCCTTGACGCAGTTGTGCGGAGTATCTTTGACTGTTGAGAAAACAAAGGAGGAGAAGAAGACAAAGAAGGCTTGAAGGCTACAGTCTTGCTGCCAATTCATGTGTGTAATGACCGTGGATATTCTTACCTCTGACGCTCCAATAAGGAATCAAGCTGCCGCTTGCTTTTTCTCCGTTGGGACCACGCTCCTCTTGCACCGCGTGGGAACGGTTGCACTCAACCGTAAGGAGACCAAGGAATGGGAAACCCCAATGCTCTCCTGGTAGGCCTTCCTCGGTATCCCCATGTCGGGCGCAGTGGGGTCCCCAAGAAAAATTAAAAGGAAAGTCGGCTCATGCAAAAGAAATTCTGGGCATCCATTCAGTTGCTCTCATGCGTTTCATGAAGTCGGCTTGGGCCGTCGGGAGAGTAACCTCGAACCAGGTTTGCAGCGGCGGAATCGTTGTCCACGAAGTGAATGACCTGCTTAGCGGTAAGCTCAGCAGCCCAAGTACTCAAGGCGGCTGGCGCTGCAAGTAATTCCAACTGACCCATATACGATTCTTTGGGGGATCCATTGGTCCACGAGAGATATAGGGACCACCCAACTGAAGTAAAGCACAGAGTTGTCAGGTGGGGGGAGCAAAACAGCACCGAACGTCCGAAGCGTCTGTGTAGAGCAGGACTGGCAAGCGATCATCTTCCAACCGGATTGACCTCGGTGGGAGATGGTGAGAATGGTCTTCACGAGCTGCAGTGATAGGATGAGAGTCGGTGTGAGGGCCAGTGGGGAAGCAGGATCATAGCCGAAGGCGCAGGGCGTGGGTACAAGAGCGACCCACCTTCCCGAAGAGTGTAGTGCACAGGAAATCAAATTTTCTCAAAAGACTAGCTGCGAGACTGGGAGGCAAATAGTTATCTTGTATTACCTTGTCGACAAGGGAAAGAGAATTCTTCAATCTCGTGGGTTTCGGCTCCACGGTGAGGAGCCTCTCGTGTGAAAGGGCGGCGCAGTTAAACATGACACCTAGGACTGAAGCGGTCGTACTAGGCGGTTGTGACTTCTTGGGATCAAGAACGAAACCAAGTAGTTTGAAGGCCTCGTGCGCGCAGAACATAGCGGTTTCCGCTCGACTTGAGGAATCGACGAGGAAAAAGTCGTCGAAAAAGTGGTCATGCAAGAAGCAAATGAAAACCCTTGCGCATCAAGCGGCTCGGCCACTCTATATAGAAATTTGGAAGAGCATGTCCCGCTTGGCTGACCGAACATCTCGAAGAGGTCCACTTCTTCGGCTCCTGTGATGGAAATACTTACTTGA